CGCTGTTGAAACTGATCAGTTTCAGCAGCGGCTGATGCCAGTTCTGACTTACATACAGATTCAACTTAAGAACAAACCTACAGTCCCTATCTTGTACGTTACCCGGGGACTTCCTGTATTTAGAACAAGCTGAGTATATTGGCCTGCTGACCCTGAATCCATTACTCTGTTCACTCTTCATTTTCCCCAGATTCTCTCTAGAATGGCTGCCATGTAACCTCTTTTTTCATTTACATCGTAAAGGCCTTTTTGATATGGCCTTTTTTTTCTCCCTTCCTGGCATGTCTTTGCAATATAGACCTTCTCCTGCTCAGTTCACTGTGTCCTGGCACTCCATATCTATTACCTCCTCCAGCAGTTTCCTGACAAAAGTTTGCACTACACTTGCTATTTTTAGCTTGCATTGGGATCACTGGGCCATTCTGTTTATTATAGTTTGTATAGGTTTACAACACAGGGGACTATTTTATGGTTTTGTCTCTCAGCTAACATGAAAAACAGTCCTGGTGGTTGTGCTTTGTATGCCTAACTCATAAATCCATTATTTGGTAGGCATGTAAGTGGAGGCCTAACATTCATCTCTCAAAAGTTTCACCAGCCTCAGTTAACCTTTCAGGGAGCATGGGGCAAGTCTCAAGTTTAATTACAAAAGGATTGTACAAATCTAATTCTGCCTAGAAATCGTATACAGGGCCTGATGTTGTGAAGTCTGTAGCCATTCATTAGGCATATTTGCTTTCTAAGTCTCACTTGAATTCATCTTTCACCTGGAATCCTTATCTCTAGAGCTGGTCAAATAATTTGTTGCCAGTAATGTACATAGCAAATGTAGACATGTTTAAATTCAGTAGATGTATTTATTATTCAGCAACTCTATAGTTCTGAAAAAAATAGAAACTTACTCCAATCATTCGATCTTCAGGTTCAAACAGCCTTTAAATTGTAGTTATTATTGTCCTTACTGATAAAATGCAGAAATTATAATACTTCAGTCATTTCCACCAAGAGATTGTGATGTCATAAATACAGGACTGGATTTGTGATGCAATCAAGCAGAAGATGCTAGGCAATGGTTCTCTGCCAAGGACTAATAACCAATATGGTACCAAAATGAACATTGAGAAAGTCTGGACGTGTAGCAGAAATCATTTTATGTATAAAATATTCATATATTGTATTTTACATTGTAAAGTTTGCTATAGTATTAAATTATCTCTTTAAAAGTGCTGGTCTCTGGACTTCATTTGGTCCTTATAAAGACCAGATTATGGTCTACTGATCATACCACAGTGATGTGTGCAGGAGTCTAGCTAGCAAGTAAATTAATCTCTTATAATGCTTCTGCCAGCTGTTGATAGTTTCTTTCCTTGGGATCCCTCCCATATTTAAAGAGGATTTAATCTAAGGTAAAACATTTTAAAAATTTTATACCAACCTATTGATGACATGCAGTGCCATGAGGGAAGGGAAATGGATGGAGAATGGATGACACAAATATACTGAGTGTTCATTACATTAGATAGTACCAACAGAATAGGGTGGCATTTTGAGGATGTAGAAAGAGAAGAAGGTTTATAATTTTCCCTCTCAACCTACCTGATTTCCAGGGCATCGACTCAAAGTGTTGAGGGCTCTGAGCTTCTTTTCAGTGGACATACAGTGCCTTGTATTTTTAGAGGGCAGAACAGAGATTCTTTTAGCATATGTTGGCTCCATTGACCTTTATTGTAAGTTGCCTTGGGGTATTCATATGATTAGCTGAGCCTATAAATAGCTATCATATAATGTGTTGTTGCAGAAAAATGCTTTACGGAACAAATTGTCATTTCATTTTTGGGGAAGGAGAAAATATAGGCTAGTTTTGCAAAGAGAAAGGAATTTCCACTCAACGCACTGCCACACTCACAGTTCTGACTACTGGAGCTAAAGAAAGAGCTTGTATGATTTTTTTGATTGTCACTGATTGGGCCATGCTGCCCTTATATTTGCAGCACTATAGCTTTAAGAAGCCTACAGTCCAGAGCAGTTTGGTAGATAGCATGTGCTTCCATTTGAGGGAGTAAGTTCAGGGCTTATCTTACTGAGCTGTCAGGGGCTGGCCGGAGTCTGGCAGAAGAACTCTCAGCCCTGGGGGTCTGGGAGTCCTTTCTGGCTGATGCTTTTGAATAGCATTTGTGGCCTTTGCAAGGAAATGCTTTATCTCCTGAGAGGATTTCTGCCACAGGGGCTCCAAAAAGATGTGAGTGAAGTACACATGAAAAGAAACTGGAGCATGACACCAGCAGAGCTCATCAAAGTGGGACAATCCTTTCCTGTTCCATACGGTGACCTCAGTTGGCTGTGTTTTCAGTGGGAGTTAATTTCTCAGGGCATGTCTACACTAGAAAATGATTTTTAAATAACAGCTCCCAAAATAACTATTTCGAAATAGCGAGTCAACACTACAGGGAAGCCTTGAAATTAGTCCGAGGCAGGCTCCCTTAGGCTATGTCTATACAGCAGTGTTATTTCAGAATAACTGATGTCATTTCGAAATAACATAGTCTGTCTCTATACACAAGCAATTATTTTGACATAATGTTGAGCTGGTGGACTTCTTACTCCGACCTCTGTAACTCTCATTGTATGAGAAGTAAGGGAAGTCAGAGGAAGAGTGCTCTATTTTGAAATAAATGCTGTGTAGATGCTCCCTATTTCAAAATAAGCTATTTCGAAATAAGATAAGCAATTGACGTACCTCAATTTGTGTAGCTTATTTCGAGTTAAGCCCTGCTGTGTAGATGCACTCTAAGGATACATCTACACTTGCTCCCTAGTCCGAACTAGGGATGCAAATGTAGGCAACCGAAATTGCTAATGAAGTGGGGATTTAAATATCTCGCGCTTCATTAGCATGATCTTGCCGGCATGTTATTCTGCTCAACAGTTGTTTTGAAAGTGAAAGTGCGCGCTGGGACGTGTTAGTTCGAACCAAACCCCCATTACGTTCGAACTAACGCTACTCCTCAGTAATGGGGGTTTGGTTCGAACTAACACGTCCCAGCGCGCACTTTCACTTTCAAAACAACTGTTGAGCAGAATAACATGCCGGCAAGATCATGCTAATGAAGCGCGAGATATTTAAATCCCCACTTCATTAGCAATTTCGGTTGCCTACATTTGCATCCCTAGTTTGAACTAGGGAGCAAGTATAGACGTACCCTAAGGGAAGAGTGCTCCATCTCAAAATAACCGAGGAGTAATTAATTTGACTCTGGGGAGTAGTTATTTTGAAATAGCAGCAGTGAAGCATCCACACTACTGCTATTTCAAAATAACTGTTTCAAAATAAGCATTATTCCTCGTGGAACGCAGCAGTTACTATTTTAAAATAACCAGCCCGTTATTTCAGAATAACAGGCTTGGAAGTGTGGACGCTCCGCTTGTTATTTTGAAATAATGGTGTAGACCAAGGCTTAGAGAGTAATCTATCTGAGTAAAGCAAACAGGGAGTTTTCCTTTCTGAACACCTTCCTTCCCGCTTTCAATAAAAGCAACTCAAATCTTCATTTGAGTTGCATAAACAATGAGCCCAACTGCTCTGATGTAAAAAACAGGAACTCCGTTGCAATGAGTGCAGAGGGCTACATTTGGACCAATAGCTTTTGTTCATTATGCATGGGTCTAGAAAGGTAACTGATCTGTATTAAATAGTACTTGTCAGTTATCAAACTTGCTTTATTTTTCTACTAAGCTGCATTCTCTTCTCACCCTATCTGACTTTCCTGAACCCACTCACCTGCTTCCCTCAATCATTATAGCATAATATAACCTCCCAGTACCACTTCCACCAAACTGAAATTTACAGCTGTGCTGCCTCTGCTGATTTCTAGACAACAAAAAAAGTGCTGTTGTTTTGTTTTTGTTTTTTCTTCTCATCTTACAGGAAAGCAATCTCCAGGTCAGGCCTCCAGCATCTGGCTCCTGCTCACTCCCTCAACATCGCAATCTCCAATGGGCCAGGAAAAGAGCCAAGAACAACACTAGAATGGAGTGTAGGTGTTTATTTTTAATCACCACAATTTATCTAAGTAACATCTCCTGCCCGTTTTCCCTCTAACCATCATGTTTTACATGGCTAGATAAAAGGTGCAGGTAAAAGGGTTGGATGTTAGCTCTGGTCACTATGAGCTTGGTCCTGCAAGGTGCAGAGAACTCTGGTGTCTATCTGGCAAAACACTTACACACCTGAAAAGTCTCTTCCGAGTCAATGGGCCTGCATACATTTAAAGATTAGCACCAGCCTAGCAAAATAACTTGCTTGAATGCTTAGCATCTCGCAGGATCAAGCCCTGAGATGACAACTCTGGGTATCTTTTATTTCTTTTTGAAGTTTTTTGTGCTTTAGGTCAAGGTAATTGTTAAATTAAGACTGGACATCTTGCTAAGTGATATGTTCTGCTTCAGCTCCTGTTTGGCTTGGAGCAGGAATCACGGGGTAATTTTTTTTTATAGCTTGTGTTATACAGGAGGTCAGACTAGATGATTGCAGTGGTCCTGTCTAACCTGAAATTCTATGAATTTGTAACAGAGTGCAGAGAAGAGTGTTAAAATTCAATCCTCTTAGTATCAGAGATCCTGTGTGGATCCCAAAGGGCTTGGCCTTACAAAACCTAGATCATGCTCTACAGGAAATGTAGTCCCTGTTTTAGCAAGATATTTAAACACATGCCTGTCTTTAAGCAAGAGAGTTTCCCTTCGAAGTCAGTGGCACTGTTTATGTGCTTCCAGTGCTTTAAGTGCTTTATTAAATTGTAGCCTAATGCAACTACTTGCATGGAAAATGGCACTGTACAATGTATATCCCCCAAGTATTTTCTTATGTAACCTATATAGCAGTGCGTACATCATGAGGGATGTGATATGTACAATAAATTCTTTGACAGAGTAATTGGATTAATTTGTATTAGGATTGGAAAGGACATGTTGATATTTAATCTATTTCTCTACATCACTGCAAGATAATATTAATAGATTCCTACAGCATCCCCATTGCTTCTGTACTGACTTTCATTTAGAACTTCTAATGTAGGTGATTCCTTGACCTCTTGTGGCTGGTTATCCCAGTGTTTGGCTGATATGGGCAAAAAGTGCAGCCTAAATTTGTAGCATAAATGTTTTCTTCCTTAGTTCTCCGCAGTACCCTACACTAGCCCCCTAGTTCGAACTAGGGAGGCTAATGAGGGCAACCAAAATTGCAAATGAAGCGCGAGATTTAAATATCCTGCACTTCATTAGCATGTTCCTAGCCGGTCGCCATTTTGGAAATTGACTAGCCTGGAATAACTGCCCACATCTACACGCGGCAGAGAAGTGTGATTCTGAGATAATCCCCTTAGTTCGAGTTAACAGTTAAACCTCATTCCATGACCTCTAGGCTTTGTCTGCACTGCAGGGTTTTTGTGGAAGTAGCCTTTTGCGCAAGAGTTTTTGCACAAAAACTTCTTGCGCAAAAGCGCCTAGCGCAAATGCGCATCTAGACCTCAAAGCACATCGCAAAAGTGATGTGCTTTTGCGCAAGAGAGTGTCCACACTGCATGGAAGCTCTTGCGCAAGAAAGCTCTGATGGCCATTCGCAGAATGGCCATCAGAGCACCTGTGCTTTTTTCTGACACAAAACCTGCCTTTTTGTCCAAGAGGTATAGCACAAAAGGGAGTTATTCCTTGTGGGGAGAGGAATAACTCTACTGGCAAAAGCCCTCTGGTTCTGTCAATTTTCTTGCACAAAAGCAAGGTGTGGACGCTCTGCTGGTTTTTGCATAAAAATGGCCGGGTTTGTGCAAAAATCTTGTAGTGTAGACATAGCCCTAGAGTATACTGAGTGTTCTTCAGAGGTAAACTATTGCAACATTATGGCCATGTTATATAGTCTTGTAGAAAGTTCCCATAGAAGTTAATAAGAATGAAACCTGTAGGAATCTATAGAAATAGGTTTCTATTGTAATTATTCTAAACCCCGACATAATATAACAGGGTATGTCTACACTACAGCGTTATTTCAAAATATCTTATTTCAAAATAGTTATTTCAAAATATCTTATTTCAAAATAATGCGTCTACACACAAAATGCATTTTGAAATAGCTTTTTCTATTTCAAAATACTGCATCCACACTGAGTGGACGCTAAATCGCATTTAAGGCTGGCCAGAACCAGGTCCAGCAGGGCATCAGGTCAGGAGTTATTTTGTGTGGCTGCTGCCTGAGGCTATCTGAGGCTTGTGCTTAAAGGGACCCCCTCCTCCACTGGACAGCCAGTTCTCAGTTTTCCCTGCTTGCTTGCCTGCCTCTATGAGGGACAGCAAAGCATTTTGTCTCTGCGTGCTCTGGTTGTCCTCACTTGGGACACCACAGCACTCTGCAACATGGAGCCAGACTTGCCCCTGGGCACTCTGGTGCTTCTCATGGATGTGTTGCTGCGAGCCTGGCTTCACTTTCTGCAGGCTGCCATCCAGGAGGTCCATCGGGGGGCTGTCACTATACAGGAGGCCCTGTGGGAGAGCTTCTACCCTGAGGAGCACTAAGAGCCTCCCTGGTCTGCCCCACTGGGGGCTTGTGTCTCATTCCTCCCTCATGTCCTTCCACTTACCCCTCCCTAACCTTTCTTCCTGATGTCAAATAAAATACAATGTAAAATAAAATTTTCATGAACACAAACTCTCTTTATTTAACAAAACTGGGGGGCGGGAACGAAACGCTGGTGAGACTGGGGAAAGGAAGCAGGAGAGGAGAAGAGAGAGGGTGCGAGAGGGGAGGGGGAAACCTGGGAGGAGGGAGCTGGAAGGGAGAGGGGAGGGGAAGCAGGGCTCAGGTTTGGGGGTCTCGCTGGACCAACTTGATTTTCATGCAGACCTGCTCCTGGGTTCACATGTGGCCTTTGGTGGCCAGGCTGGCAGCTATCCTGCCATAGACGGCTGCGTTCCTCCATCTAGTGTGGAGATCATGGATGTTGGGAGCATCCCCCCCCCAAACCTGAATAAGGTCCATGATCTCCACCCTGGACCAGGAAGGCACCTGCCTTCTCCAGGCCCTGGCAGACTCCTGGGAGCTGGCAGACTGCTCCTGGGGGGCAGTGGAGGGCTGGCTGCCAGTGGCTTACTGACTCATGTTTTGGGGCCACTGGGTCAGGGGCAGTGACACTGGGTCAGGGGCTGGCTCTGGGCTGGCAGGCTTGGAACTGGCACAGGCACTGTGGCCAGAGTCAACCCCTTTAAGGGCTCTGGGGAGTGGGGAGGGAGAGAAGTGTTCTTGGTTGAGGCTGAAGTGGCCACCAGGGCACCCTGGGAAGGATGGAGGCCCCCTATTTCGAAATAAGTGTCTACACAGCACCTTTTTTGAAATAACTATTTCAAATTTGGTGTTATTCCTTGTGGAATGAGGTTTACCAAATCTGAAATAAGCACCCGCTATTTTGAATTAATTTCAAAATAGCGGTTTGGGCTGTATAGACGCTAGTAAAGTTATTTTGAAATAACGGCTGTTCTTTCGAAATAACTTTGCTGTGTAGACATACCCATAGAGAATGACATCAGTTCACAGGATTCTGTTTTCAGATGCCCGTACGAGACTATAACATTTTATTAAGAGTTTTAGATGTTTTATGAAAATGTTACTTTTTCTATTCAGTTGTATAGGGCCATATTGCCCATGAATATGAATCTGTATGCTTCCATCATACTCCGCTTCTTTTTGGTATATGGTTCTCACCAGAACCATTGGCCCCTTACCGTAAAGAACAATGGACTGAATTGTGTGTGTATATTTGTATCTAATGATAGACTACATTTGAGGTGTGTGTGTGTGTGTGTGTGTGTGTATGTATATAAAAGTAGTATATTAACTCTAATCCCACTAGTTTTGACTCATACAACAACACTAATCCAGATGGATGCTTTTCCTTTCTATGTGTATGGTCTCCCTTGTAAATCATCATTTCATATACTGAATGCTGTCTCTTCCTATTAATGTTTCTGCAAAACTAGGTCTCATAGTTGGGAACTGAGTATGCAGATGGGAAGAGACACACATCATCAGAGGCTCACATAAGGAGGAGGAGCCCTTGCATGTGGTGATGGCACAACCACTTTCAAAAATAGAGAGTGTATTGTTAGCTGTTTCTGTAGCTCTTACATCAGGAAGTAGTAATGATTCCAGTCATCTGGAAAAATAAAAAAAACTTTATTAAAAATCAAACTCTATTAAAGTCAGAGAACTGGTAGGTAGGGTCCCATGGGAGAAAAGCTGTAGGATAAAGGAGTTCAGGAGAGTTAGCATTTCTCAAAGACACAATATAAAAGGCTCAACTCTAAACAGTCCCAATAGGAAGAGTAGTAAGAAACCAGTGTGGTTCTATTAGAAGTTGTTCAGTGACCTGAAAATAAAAAAGGAATCCTACAAAAAATGGACACATGGTTGAATTGCTAAGGACGAGCACAAAAGAATTACACAAGATGAAGGGGAAAAGCCAGAAAGGCTAAGGCACAAAATGAGTTAAATCTAGTAAGGTACATAACAAGCAACAGGAGGAGGGTCTGTATATACAGTAGGAACAAGAGAAAGATGAAGGAAAGTGAAGGTTCTCTACTTAGCGGGGGAGGAGAGCTGATGACATCAAAAAGGGTGAAGTGTTTGCTTTTGTCAAAATTTGAAAAGTACAGGTTAAAGATATTTAGATAAATTAGATATATTCCAATCAGCAGGGCCTGATGAAATTCATCCTAGGGTACCTAAGGAACTAGTTGAAACAGTCTTGGAACAATCAGCAATTATCTTCAAGAATTTGTGAGGTCCCAGAAACCTGGAGAAAGGGAAACATAGTACTTATTTTTAAAAAGGGTAACAAAGAGGAATTATACATATCAGTTTAACTTTGAAAGATACCGGAAGAAATTAGAAACAATCAGTTTTTAAGCACATAGAAGATACTATAGCTATAAGGAATAGCCAGTTTGGAGTTAAGACAAAAACCATGCCAAATCAACCTAATTTCCTTGTTGG